CCATCACCCAGTTCAGCTTCGCCGACAGCACGTAGCCCTCATTAGTTACGCCGCCTGCGTCACATTCGAGATATTCGGTGGACAAACACGTTGTCACTAACAAACTTTGTGAGGATCCTGATTAGTGGGGCCTGGACACGACAGGACCGTTCTTTGACCGGTTCCGTTCTGCCGTGTCTGTTGCTTGTTCCAGAGCCGTTTTTGTTCCCGGTTCCATCGCCGTTTTTTTGTCCGCCGGTTCCGATTCGGGCTCCAGTCCCGGAGCCGTTTTTATCTCGTTTCCGTGACTCATTTTTGTTTGCTCCTCGTTTCCCACGATCCAGAAACAGCTTGTTTTGAAAACGGCCAAAAATTGCCCTGCCGCTTCCTGAGCCTACTGTAAGGTATTGGCGCAGCGACAACCCCAAGGACAGCATGCTCGTGGAGTGCGGGAGGGTCCCAGGGCTGACTCGAGGCTCAAGGTGTTCGGACATTTTCGCTGGTTCCTGGAAGCCGTCTGCCTCGGGATGTGTCCCAGCGGCTGCGCCGCGCCGAGGGCGTCCCAGGGTGTCCAGATGCTATTGCCCGAAATACATCAAGGATTGTATGCTCGTGGAGTTCGGGAGGGTCTGGGGGTCAACCAGCACGAGGAGGTGGAGGAGGGGGGAAGGAGGGAGGGAGGGGGATCCAGACCTCCCAGATGGGGTCCGAATAGATGGGGTCGGAGGAACGCGCCGCATCGCCGATGCATCCGCGATGCGGCCCAATGTGGGGCCCGATTTTCTCCACGCCGACGTCGCCGACGCCGATGCATCATGGATGTATCAGCGGACCAGGGGGGTGGATGTCATGGCCGCGGCCATGCCATCTCGCAAAGTTCAGGGCCCCCTCTTGTTCATATTCTTCTTGCAATACGACCCTTGGCCCCCCCCTTTTACTGGCCCCCCTCCTGCGACTTGCAATACGCACATGCCTGGGAGCATGGTGCGCCGCCCCCCTTTTGCTGGCCCTCCTCCTGCGGCGCAACCGGAAGGTCACGTGGGCGAGCCGCCCCGACGTGCAGGCTTGGCTGAAGGCCTTCGGCCACGACAGGGTCCTCCTCACCGGTCCCTTCGACACGACGCACAAGGGGATCCTGCAGGGTACCCCGAAGGACGGCAGCCTCGTGTGGGACGACGGCGACGTCTGGATGCGCTACGGCAGCCACGGCACGCACCCTTCGCCCAGGGCGAACTTGAACGGGCTGTTCGCGGAGCTGCCGACAGAGGCGAGCGAGTAGACCGGAGGAGGGGAGTTGGTCCTCACTTGGGGGGTTGGGCCAGGGCGGCGGCGGCGAGCCTGGCCATGCCAAGCGGGAGCCGCGCTTCGCCCCCCCCTCCCCTCCTCTTCCTCCCTCTTCTTCCTCCCTCCTCTTCCTCCCTCCTCCCTCCTCCTCCTCCCCTCCTCCTCCTCCTCCTCCTCCTCCTCCTCCTCCTCCTCCTCCTCCTCCTCCTCCTCCTCCTCCTCCTCCTCCCCCTCCTCCACCTCATCCCCGTTTTGGCTCGAGGCTATGAGCTCCCCCGTGGCACGCACGGATAGTGCCAGTCCGCGGCCAGTGCCAAAGCTGTTCAGCTCGACGGTCTTCCTCTCTCCCAGCCGGTTCAGTCTTCGTCGATGGGCAGAGGGCGCCAAGCGAAGAAGCCGCACAAGCATGCTCGCCGCTCCGTCGGATCCGATGAGACATCCGACCGCTCGGCTGGCAGTTCGGTTCGTGGTGATCATCGTGCTGATCGCCGGCCGCCCTCGAGCTCTAGCGACGACACCTCGCGGCGCTCCCGCGGCGCTGGGCGCAGTGCGGGACGCAGCCCCGCGGGCGGCCCGTTGTCCCATGACGACGTGGAGGCGCCGGAGACGTCCCCAGCCCTCTCCGCCAGCCAGCAGGCCGCGGTCGCAGCGGCGCGCGCTCCTCGCGAGGATGTACAACGTGAGCGCGATGGCGCAGCCGGTGCCCCTGGGACGCTTGTGGTCGGGCTCCCCACGCCGCCGGGCGCCGACGCGGGAGCCGCATCAGCTTGGCCGCCTGGGCAGGACCCCTGGGTCCTTCATCTTCGCGGTGTTCCTGGCGAGCTGCCTCCACCTCCTCCTCGCGGTGCTGCGGCAGCGGCGGCTGGCGACGGCCCCCTGGACATGTCCGAGACGCTGGAGCGCTTCAAGCAGGACATCATCGCGGAGATGGCTCGCGCCCCCTCGGACACATAGCCAAGATGGCGCGCGCGGAGCCCCCGCGGACCATCGCGAACGCGGCGCAGCCCCCCGTCGCCCAGCTCGACGAGTCGATGCAGCAGCGCTTCAGGGCCCAGGAGGTCCGCACGGTCGGCGTCGAGAAGCGGCTGGGCCAGGCCGAGTCGGCCCACGCCTCCCTCGCCGACCGCTTTGCGAAGTTGCGAAGCTGGAGTAGGAGCTGGGACTCGGCGCGCGCCGCGCCGATGGGGTCCCGTCGCCAGGGCCGCGGAGTGGCAGCGCGCAGCGGACCCTGGCATCTTCGCCATCACGCCTCGAGAGGACATCGGCAAGAATTTGGTGACCGATGCGCTGCGCGACTGGATGGGCGCCGCCAGTTACGAGGTTGGGAAGGACTACGAGTTGGAAGGTAAGGAGCTTGCTCGCAGGTTCGCCCTCCTTTTCCAGGGCCTGGCGCCACGCGTGGTTCCCGCGTTCGGCGGGTTCGCGGTCTCCGTCGCGACGCTCATGGAGCGTGGCGGCAGTTGTCTGCCGCGATGATCGGCGGTCGGCGCGCCCCCTTCTACGTCGGCGTCGATCGCAACAGGCCTGAGATCGCTCGCGAGCACAACGCCAACAATCTGCGGGACAAGCTGAAGGACTGAGGCGGGAACGCTGTCCGTCGACTGGGAGGCCCTTGCCCGCGTGGTCGTCGACCCGGCCGATCCGCCGAAGATGCAATGGGACTTGGGCGCTCTTTCTAATCTCAACCTGGCGCGGGCTGACTTGGACAGGCTCGCGAAAGACATCCCCCCCCCTCCCCCCCCCCCAAGCGCGTCGAGTGGAGCGGGCAATACCTTTTTCAAAACCTCCAAGCTGGCGTTCAACAGCTGGAACTGCCGCGCCTTGCTGCGCCATCTCTTTCATGCGCTGCATCGCAAAGTTGATGCGGTGCGCTCCATGCTCTCCCCCTCCACTATCGCGGCCCTTCAAGAAGCGCATGGTCCTGCTGCTGCTGCTGCGAAGGGGCCCCTCTCTCATCTTCGCGGGACGGGTCGCAGTTGTTGGCACTTCTGGATGCGGTGGCGCTTGCACTTGGGTTCCCATGTCTTGGAATTCGCGCAGGTTGCGCCCTTGGAGATTGTGGCGAGCAGGGGGGGCTCTCTGTCTCAAGCTCGTCCATCGGCACTCTGGCTTCTGCTGGTGCCACTTGAACATTCGCCATCACGATCTTGACGCCAGTGACTTCCGCAGCATTTCGCACGCGTTTCGTGAGCAACTCGGCCAGGTCAAGGACGGCCTGCTGGACACTGGCCTCCTGGTGATCGGCGACGTCAACATTGCGGACGAGGAGGTGGACCACTCTACCGCGGAGCTCATTCACGTCCGTGGGCGACGTCAGCGGCCTGGCGAGGGCACTGCTGGCGCGGCAGCCGTTCGCTCCTCTGCTGGCAGGCAGGCGCGCCCTGGTCAGTCGCGGCGGCGCAGATCTTTCGGCAGCTGACGAAGCCCGTCGCGCCTGGCATCAGCCACTTCCACGCTGCTACCAGAACGGGCCCCCGAGTCGACAGGTGCTTCGCGGCGACGCCGCCCTCGCTCCCGCGGCAGCTCGGGCAATGCGCGCGGCGCCGTGGCCAGCCGCAGGAGTTCCACGACGCGCTGCTGTCCGACCGCGCGCCCCTCGCGATCGCGGCGAGGCTCCGACGAGCCGATCTGCGGGAAGATCCCTGCGAGCATCTTCCCCGACGAGCTCTACCAGCCGAATTCGGAGGAGCACGAGCGCATCGCTGGGGCCAGCGACTTCGGCGCTCACTCGGCGCCGGCGGAGCTGGAGCTGGCCGCGCGCTGCCGGCAGGCGGCGGCCCGCGCGGCGCGGGATCTGCAGCTGCGTGATCGCCCGAGGCGGCGCGACAGCCGCTCTGCATTTCTTCGGCATCTCGCCCGCGCGGTCTGGCGCCAGGACGCTCGCTCGGGCAACGTTCTCTGGCACAGGCATCAGCGGCTCCGACCCTTCTCCTCTGTCGACGCGCCGCCCTCGCCCGTCGGCCTCACCTCTCCCGACGCCTTTGATCGAGCTCATTCGGATTTGCAATTTCAGGAGGCCCAGGCCGAAACCGCGCGGCTCCGGCGAGCTGAGGGCGCCCCCGGGGCGCTTGGACGACGGGCCCGTCTCCGCGCGCAGTCGAGGGCCCTCCGCAGGCGAGCTCAGATCTGGTCTCCGTTCAGTCGCAGACGTCATCTGGCGGGGGTGGCGGAGGGCGGGGCGGTCGTCGCCCGTCCTTCTGCCGAGGGCCAGACCGCGGCTCTCAGCGAGCACTGGAGCCCCATTCCTGAAAAGCAGCAGCCGGTTCCTCGGCGGGGCCAGCAGTGCCTGTCCAAGTTTGCCCCTGAGAAGGACTTCTCGGACGCCCCCCCCCCGGATTCGCTCGATCCGCTGTTTTATCCGCCGCGCTTTGCATTCGGAGCCTGGCCTCGATGGGCTTGCGCGCGCTGCCTGGGGGCTCGGCCAGGGCCCCAGGGCGTCGTTAAACCTTTTCCATTGGCTTGCCAGCGGACAGCGCGCGACCCCTTCTTTTCGCGCGCGTTTGCAGGTCTTCATGCCCATGGGGGCTCTGAAAAGCGAAGAGAAGCGCACTGGGGGGGGGGGGGGGGGGGGGGGCGTTCGGCGCGGTCGGGACACCCGCGCTTCAAAAGCACAAGTTAAAAAGTTGGCGTTGGGGTCGCCAATGCTGGGTCGTCTGAAGCGGTGCAAGACGTCGGCGCTCCCGTGCAACGAAGCTTCATTCAAAGCCGCAACTGGCTGGCGAACGCGCGCGAACTCGACGCCCACGCTCGGCTCGTCAGTGCCCGCGGAATCCCCGGAGGCGCCATTTTAGCATTTGGTTTTGCGCAGGCGCCCCCGTCCGTCAGCCAGCAGCGGCTCGCGCAAGCGACGCGGCAGATGAACATTCCTCGCGGGCGCCTTCTCGCGGCCCATGGCTGTCACCACCTCAACCCTTGTCCTCTCTCCGTTCAGGGCCTCCAGCTTCACTCTTCTCCATGATTCCAGGGGCGTCGCGAGAGCGCCCGCTGAGCGGTGGCCCCGCTGTCATCGCGGTCGACAGCTTTCTCTAGTACATGTTTCGTAGCGCGCAGTCGCCAGGGCATGAACAGATTCGAGCATGCGCCGACGACGTTGGCGCCGTTCTCTCCCCTCGCACAGGGCATCGCGAGACAGCCTGCGTCTTTCGCAGCGCTGAGCACCTCGCAGGCCTCACCCTCGCGGCCGCGACACGTAGCGCCGCCCCGCCGCGCGCCGCCCTCACCGACAGCGTAGAACAATAAATGCGCGGCTTCCTCCGCGATTACTTTTGCCCCCGCCCCGGCGCTGTCATCCAGCTTGGTTCGGCTCGCTGAGGAGAGCGCGGAGTCGCGTCGGAGGCTAGCACTTGGGATGTCGGTTGCGCCCTGGGGCCCAGGCGCTCCGCAACGTTCGGGCTCTTCTCAGCAAGAAGGCCGCTCGGGGCAGAGCCATTGCGGGTGTCAGGCGCGATCTTTCGACGGGGGTCCAGCTGCGCGGACAACGGGCGCCCAGTGTGTCCTCGCGCGTTCCGCAGCTTGTTCACACCCCGTGGGGCGCGGCCAAAATGGAGCGGCAGTTTCTCGCCCAGGTTTTCAAGTGGCCGATGTCGGCCTTCCGTTACTCGGATTAGTTTAACTTCGGCGCTTGGCATGGCCCGCGGGTGAGCTCGTCGCCCTCCCCCAGTGGCTTGCTACCCTCCGCATGCTGCGTGACGGTCTCATCGATCACTGTCCCATGGTGTTGCGGAACTGGCCTCTCCTCGGGGAGTTCCTACTATGAGTCGTAGTGGGGAGCTCCTACTACGAGTCGTAGCAGGCAGCTCCTATGAGTCGTAGTGGGGAGCTCCTTCTACGAGTCGCAGTGGGGAGCCCCTACTATGAGTCGCAGTGGGGGGCTCCTGCTATGAGTCGCAGCGGGGGGCGTCGCGGCCTCTCGAGGGCCACAGGCGACAGCCCTCCCCCAGTCCCCGAGTGCCCCAATCCTGAAAACGGGCCGCTCAGAAGGGAAGGGGAGCTCGGGGATGCACCCGCGGGGGGCTCTTCGCACGCACCCCTGTCGAGGATGGGCGCCCCCCCCCCCCTTCGCGCGCCCTCGCGTGGAGCTCTGCCGCCTTGCCTGGCCGAGGCCCCATTCGGGAGACAGCTTCTCCGATGTTGAATGCGGCGCCTGGCGCTGGCACAGCCGTGGTCGGAAGCCGGCGCCATCCCGCTCGCTCGGGCTCGCTTCTGGGTCGACGCCAGGCTCATCCGGCCCAAATGGCCCCCCAACACATACCAGGAGTTGCTCCCACACCCCACACATTCGGGGATTGGGGCCAGTAGCGTTTAGCACATCCGCATCCCCACCCTGCCATGGCATCTCAGACCCACCCGCCCACGCCCCCTTTAGGGGAAGGGTCCTTCGAAACGCGATGGGAACAGCCCATCTCCACACCGAGGGGGGTAATTCGGCCAGTTGTTCGAAATCCGAAGGCTTGCAATGCTGCTGGATGAGTTGAGTGCTAAGTCGATCTGCGATGGTACCTGGAGCCTTGGCGTTCACACCTCCTGAAGCTGGGAAAGCTTCCACCTTCTGGGAGGGGACACCGACCAGACCTTGAGCGTTTGCGCCTTCCCCTTTCGTCCTCCCCTTTTTGCCCTCCATCGTCGTCCTCACCTTCTCCTCCGTCCGAACGGCGCGGGCTGCTTCCTGGCACGCCGGCCGGGCCAAGGCGAGGAAAAGGAGGAGGAGGAGGAGGAGGAAGAGGAGGAGGAGGAGGAGGAGCAGCAGCAGTGGAGCAGCAGCAGCAGGGAGGAGGAGGCGGAGAAGGGGGAGAAAGAGGAGGAGGAGGCGGAGGAGGAGGAGGAGAAGGAGGAGGAGGAGGAGGGGGGAGGAGGGTGCAATGGTCCCGCTCAGACCAATGCCTTGATAGCCTCCCTGAGTTCCCTTCTTCGAAGATGTCCTGCTATCTGCTCACTCTCTTCCTTGAAAATGTCCTGCGATTTGCTCACTTTATCTTCCTTGAAGATGGCGGTGACAATTGGTGGTGGGGAGCGCGTCGCTGGACATGCGATAACACGACACAGAAATTCGAAATGAGCCCCAGGGGAGTGGAGGTGATGAGGGAAGCGGGGGCGCATGCAGAAGAACAAAGGGCGGGGTAAGCCGCCATATGCCCCAAGAGGGGGAGGATGCAGTAGGAGTCGTCGTCGTCGGAGTAGGAGAAGGAAGAGGAGGAGCAGGAGGAGAAACAGGAGGAGGAGGGGGAGGAGGAGGAGGAGGAGGAGGAGGGGAGGAGGAGGAGGAGGAGGAGGAGTAGGAGATGCGGGAGGGCGGGGACGTGGAGGACGAGGAGGAGAAGGAGAAGGAGAAGGAGGAGGAGGAGGAGGAAAAGGAGGGGGAGGAGGGAGGAGGAAGAAAAAGAGGAGGAGGAGGAGGAGGAGGACACTGGCGAGCTTGGGGGCCTCTTGGGCCGTCTTTGGGGCCTCTTGGCGGTCCTAGGGGCCTCTTGCGTATCTCGGGGAGCCTCTTGGGGCCTTTGGGGGGTCTCTTTGGGCCTCTTGGGGGTCTCTTGGGGGCCTCCTGGGGGCCTCTTGGGGCTATCGTGGGGCCATCTTGGGACCTCTTGGGGCATCCTGGGCGCTTTTTTGGGCCATGCTGGAGGAGATCTATCAAAGAAGGGGGGGTGTCTCAATTAGCCCCCCCCCCCCAACCAGGAGGCCAAAATGTGGCAAAAACCGTAGTAAAATCAATGAGTTTGGCTTCCTCGCCGAGGACATCTTGGACGCTCCAACGCGTCGCCGCGCCCCCCGTCCAGGTCCAGGGGAGGGGGTAGGGGGAGGGGTAAACCCCTCCCCGAAGGGGAAGAAGGAGGGGTGGAAGAGGAAACTCTCTAAACCACCTACGCCCAGAGGGCTGGTGGGACTTGTTTGTCAGCTGGCCATTTCGCTGTGGTTCAAACCGCAAGTCAGTAGTCTAGCAGCCTCTCGCTGCTATACACAAGCTTGAGCCAAGACGGTTTCGGAAGAAACGTCTTGGGAAACGTGTAAAACACTTTTGATATGTAAAACAATCTAGGGCTTGGGGCTCTCCTGGGAACCTTGGGGAGACTAAGCATGGCTAGGCTGCAAAACAGAGAAAAAGGAACCTGCTACGCCAGGGAACGCGGACTTACATGATATGGATAGTATGGATTGGGCTCCTTGGAGCCTTGTTTTAAACTGTCTAGCGCACTGGGCCTCGATGGGCCATCTGTCGTAAGTAGGCACAGGGAGGTAGGCTCTGGGCTGTGAATCGCATGCCCGAACAGTTAAAGTTCGATGTTGCGGCATCGAAGCCTGGCCTTCCCTCCTGAAATCACAGAAAGCACGGAGCGTGTGGTAGGACTCACCCGGCCCCAGAGGGCCTCATGTCCGGCATCCGATAGGTCCAGCTAGCTGGGACTCGTCGTCGCGTGAGAGGTACACCAGGGCTTCCAGGGCGGTGTCGGGATCCAGCGGGGTGCCGTGATCTAGCTTGTCGATGCCCTCGGACTTGCGCCTGCGCGCTGACCGATGGAGAGGATCGTCCACTAGCCGCCAGCGCTGTCCGCTTCTGAAGAACTCCAGTGGGGCCTTGGCAGCGCGGTCCTTCGTAAGACCGTCGGTTAACATGGCATCGCTGTGACCCCAGCGAATCTGGAGCCCTGTCTGCTGCTTCTGCTGCCTGATGTGCACTCGACACCAGTCCTCTTATCTCGAAGACCCAGTCCAACAGACTCGTTCTTTTCGATGGCGTCGTACCCGGACTTCCGTCTGTGACCAGGACTCCAGGGCAGGTTGTGATGGCGTCGTTCACGGCCCGCTGGTTGATGTAATCCACGTGGCCGCACTCTAGCTCGTAGATGAACAGTCGCACGTAGCTGGTATCGTCGAGCGTCTCCGTCATCATCTGCACTTCGGCACTCGCTGCTTCTGGCAACGCGTGGCAATTTGCAGGATCTCCAGGAAATCGGCGCCACTGTCTCTGTGGATCCTTCTAGAAACGATAACGGTGCCAACGATCATCTCACCTCCTTGGGATTCTCCTATGATCCGGGCTGCCCATGCGGCGTCGCCCCAACCAACAACTGTCAGCTTCTCGATCGCAGGCATGACCGTGGTGACGTCAGCGGTGTCGTTCGTGGTGCGGATGAGCTTGTTGATCTTCTGAATCGTGGGGACCGTCGCGGTAGGAATCTCGGTTTGTAGTAGTGAAACTTCGGCGCTGGGCCACGGTGCTGACTGCTGCGCTCTCTGTGCCATGCCGTCCCCGTAGATCAGAGCGTTCGCGATCAGAAACTCCGTCAGTAGGCTTCCTGCCGCGCTTGACTGGAATCGGCTCCACGTTCATGCTGTAAGTGTCCTGGGCGAGGCTGCACGTGAAAGCATCGTTCTGGCGGATGCTGACTCCACATTGAACGAAAGCCTTGCTCTCCCAGGGTGTCCATTCGAAAGCTTGTTAAATCTCTTTCCGTTTCTGCAGGAAGGACTTGTTACTGTGGTCTCCGGCGATCATCATGTCGTCTACGTGTAGAATGACCATACCGATCAGCTTGCCGTCGCCGTCCCTGATGACCTAGACGCAGGACTCGCACTGGATGGCCTCAAGCTTGAGCTCGTTGAGAGTCTCCTTGACATGTAGCCACCACTTCCGAGGTGCATGTACGAACCCGTACATCGGCTTGAGGAATTGCAGCACTTCGCCCTCATTCATGCCGAAGGCCTGGCGAACGTCCCTGGGCGGATCGGCGTAGATATTCCGCTTCTCCTCGTTGGTCTCTCCTTGAAGGAATGCAGTCACTGCGTCGGCCTTCTCCAGTAGCCACTTGTGCTGGGCGGCCATAGCTAGTACAAGTTGGCGAGCACGTCGAGAAGCGCCTGGTGATTCTGTACGCAGATGTAGTAGATCAGGATCGCTGCAACCGAGTACCACGAGTCGAGCTTTGCCTCCTAGGACTATACCTTGTCCGTCCTTCTTCCAGGTGAGCACGAAACTGCAGCGTAGAAGACGCGCTGGATCTATGCCCTTGCGGCTGAGGATCCTTACGGCCTTGGTGCTGAGAACGGAGGTGCGCTCCTTCCGTTGGGCCTCACGTAGCATCTTATTTTTCATGTGTCGCTGCCTTCTTGAATGAAGCTTCCACTCGGCCCTTGCGAGCCTGCGAAGACACGAAGTTGCTCGGGACCTCGAAGTAGTTCATGAAGGCGTGCTCGTTGTTAACTGGAATCTCCAACACGATCAGCTCGTCCTCCTCCTTGGTCTCGTCGTACTGCTGGGTGCTGTAGTTGTCATCGCTGTAGAAGTTACCCCCCTGCAAGTAGTTAAGAAAAAGTCCTCCTGAACTGCAGCGCAGATTCTGGACTTCTTGACGGGAGGCTCTGTCATCTCGTCGGTGTCCGCAGTCCGCTTTTGAGGTAGGTATGATCGAGTTTCTTCGGATTCAGGGTCTACCGCCAGTTCTCCAGCTGAAACGTCCGGGAAGGGCTTCTGCGAGGCCTGATCCTCCATGTCATCGTCCTTCGGGTCGATCTGCAAAGCTTCCTCGTCAGCTTCGGCTGGGTCGTCAGCTTCTTCTGTAGGTGGTCCTTCAACAGGTGACTTGAGTCCAGGTGGTGGCATTGGTGGTACGTCTTGTATGAGTGGCTCCTGTGGCTCCTCCTCCGCCTCCACGTGCGTAGACCTGAGGTACTCCTTGAGATGGTAGAGGCCTGTCGTCATCTTAATCAACGGCCCAGGGCCCACTTGGGTTGTGCTCGAAAGTTCGAGCACTTGTAGATTCCCCGTCGTCGTAGACGAGGTCGTCACTGGTGGGCGGCGGCTCGTTGGTGAGGTCGATCACCTCGTTGGTATCGAGCTGCTTCTGTACCTCCCCGAACGCCCAGGTGCCCGGCTGTTCGCTCCGAGATCGGAGCGCGCCCATAGTTTCTTCAGAAGGCGTGGCTGGTCGTAACTGTTCGGGTGCAACTCGGTAGAGCCGCCCTGCCAGGACGACTGCGCAAGGTAGACCAGGTCGGTGGCCAGAGCTATCGGGTTCGTGACAGAGTACTCGTCCAGGTCCGCACCAGCGCTCTCGCCCGGGCATCGATCGCGGTTGCCCCTTCTTCCTCCAGGCTCCAGGTGGGAGCCTCCAGTAGACGAAGACTAAGTCGCCGCAGTTGTAGTTCTTGAAGGACCTGAACTTCGTTTCGCCGCCTCTGCCCTCTGGACTCTGTCGGAGCTCTCGGTCTGGATGTGGGCCGGTCGGGGTAGTCGACGTATCTGAGCATCTTTGGCGAACATGCCGCCCTGTAGCTCGGCGCCGATGAGCGGGAGGTTGTTCGGCTCGTCGTCGAGGTTGGCAGTCGCTCCCGTAGGCGACCTTCCGGCGTAGCGCTGAAGCGGGCTGAAGCCGTCGACCCCCGCGAGGTCGTTGCGGGCTGCCGCCTGGAGGCCGAACATCTCGCTGGTAGACGCGTCGGGAGAGATCATCTCGTCGAAGGCGTCGAGGGCTTCCTTGAAGGCCTCGATGGCGCGCTCGACCTTCCCGATCTGCCAGTGTGCGTCAGCAGCACACGGGAGGCAGTAGATGCCTTGGCTCTCGACCCACTCCCTGAACTCGTCGGGGGCTGCGCTGCCAGCTGGGTCGTAGTGCATGACCTTGGTGCGCCCCATCCATGGGAACCACAGTCGTAGGTCTCCAGCTCGTACCTGACGCAGTTGTTCTGGCATCTTCTTCTCGTCGATCAAACGCACGTAGAGGATGTCGGAACCCGCGCCCAGAACCGCGAGCGCCATGGCGTCGGCGTTCGTGTTGCGACGAACCCAAGAGAAGGCGTCGAATAGAACTTCGTGGCCATTATGCGGTAACTCTGCTGATGATGCTGGCGGCCGCTTCGTAGGAGGTCGGCGAGCGTCACAGATGTCGCACTGAAAGTGGCGAGCGGCCCGTAGTACTTCAGGTCGGGCTCCTCGATCTCGGAGATAGCGAATGAGATTAGCACGTGGAAGGTGTCCCAGATTGGTGTGGGCCAGTCTCGCGTAGCTCTCCAACTTCTTGATCGCTTCCTTCGTTAGGCCGAGGGAGTCCTTCCCGTCCTTAGGCGGCAGCACTCCGGGGTCGGCTCCGCGGGGGACTGTTATGCAACTGCCAAGCAGTGACAGTTCACGATCTCCTCTTCGAAGTTGCTCAAGTTAGCGTCGCGCGTAAGTGCCCTCAGCATTCTTCGGCAGAGCAATTTCGGATATCTTCCTGAGGCTTCGATTCGGCCACTTCCTTCAATCTCTCCATGATAGTGTCCTCCGCGACACTGAAGTGGCTGAAGGGCTACCCAGATGTGCTTGTCGTTGGTGAGGAACTTCCAGCGCTTCTTCATGAGCTCTCCGGTATCGGGGGCCCGTCGTCCACAGGCGCAACCGTCCGCGATGACTTCGCAGGGTAGCAGCTTGCGTAGATCCTTCCAGCAGGTCTTCTGCCAAGAACGGCTGTTCTGCGGCTGCTCGGCGATGACCGAGCCCTTGAGGTTGCTGACCTGGTGTTCGATGAGACGCGTGCTGTTCTCGAAGATCCGCTGGCTCTTCAGTCGCTTCTTCCGAAGGTTCTCCTTCTGCTGGTCAGCGCGCTGGTCGACATTCTGGATGATCGACCACGGTCCGCAGAGTGGAGTGCTGACAAGTAGTCCTGGTCGATTCTCATCGAGCACGTACTTGGCCCTGCGGTGGCCCTGCGGCTTGCTGAGGTCGAAGTCGTTATATCGTCCGGGCCGCGCGAACTCCAAACCCCTCTGCTCGCAGATCTGGCCGAGGTTGGGGTCCTCAAATGCGCAGGCTTCGACCATGGCCAGGCGGCCGAAGGTGGAGAGGGCGCACCTTGGCTCCGAACAGGGCGGCATTGAAACTGTGCGCCGCAGACCCGATAGCCAGGCGCTGGCGCCCCTTTAGGAGTCGGCCATCATCTCGGCTCCAACGGACGCGCCCCTCATGAACTTCGCCCACTCCTTCTTCGCGATCTCCTCCGCGCACATCTTGAGGCACCAGCCGCGGGGGGTGACCTTCATGATAGGCTCGTTCTTGGCGATCCCGCGCTGCGCGCGACACTCCGGAGCCACGCAGCCCTGTGCGAAGTGGCTCTTGACCGTGCCGCCTAGGTTGTAGGGCTTGGTCTCCTGCCTTTTGATCGACGTCTCCAGGTCCTGCTTGACATTGGCCGTCGGCTTGGCGTCGCCCAGCTGCTGAAGGATGCAGGCTACCAGCCGGTCGCAGATCTCCTCCTTCTTGCCACTCTGGGTCAGCTCGTAGAGCTTGCAAGGCGGCTTGAGGTGGTTCGCGATCGTCGTCATGCTGAGCAGCCTGTAGATCTCCTCCGCGTCGGTGCCCGCAAAGGCATTCAGGTAATGGCACTTCGTCAAGAAATCGGACCTTGCGATCTCGATGCTTTTGCGAAGCTCCTTGTTCTGCTGGGAGACGGCTGCGGTATGTGTCTTGGCCCCCTTAGGAGCTGGACTCCTCTCCTGCTTGACGCTGGGCTTTTCGTCTGGCTTCCACGTCGGGAACTTCGTCGGGAAGAGCGGCGCAGGAAGCCGCATTCCGCCCAGCTTCCAGTTCTACTTCTCGATGGTCTTCAGGAAGACCTTGCAGATTACCTTGCCCCATCTCGTCGTGCAGTCCCAGGCTTGATGTAGCTTCAGATCCCACATCTCCCACTGCGGCAAGTGCTCGTCCAGGAACAGCTCCGAGTCCCTCGTCACGTTCTCCTCGATCTCGAACATCAAGTAGTTCTTCCCGTCCACTCCAGTGCTGTGAACAAAATTCCCCGGGAGCCATCCGGCAAGCAGTCGCGTGCGCCCTTGGGTTGCTGAGAGCGCCCGCTGCGCTCCGCTGCCCACTGGAATGCTGGATGGGTCGACAGGCAGAGCTTCCCATTCGTTCATCTCCTCGTCCTTGACCCTGACCTCCTGGGTCTCTGCTTTGCGGCATTTCGCCTCGCGGTTGAGGCTCATTCGGGTATGGAAGTTGCTGAGAATCGCTGAGCTCTGGGCTCGAAGATTCGGCTCTTGCCAAAATGGCTTTTGGACGGATCTTAGGCTCTCTGGGAGCTCGTGAGGAGGTGTCTCGTCTTCTTGGGGATCCGAAGTAGATGTTCATGTAAACGAAGTGCGAGTGGTTTCCGTAATCATATTCCCGGAAACCCGTTGATGAATTTGATGATCCCGTTAACGATATGGTGATGGAGGCCTCCAAGACGTACCCGAAGCAGCAGTCTTAGGTGGACTCGTCTTGGGATCCTCTGGGGAATCCTCTTGGGCTTCCCGGGCCTTTGGGCTCATGTGTAGGGGATCTCGTGTGGCTTCACGTTTTGGTGGCTGCTCTTTGTTTGTTTTACCCTCCAGCACTGGCGCAGCGATCGGTGTTGAGGGCGCGACCTCCTATTCGAGGGTCGCCACGAAGCCGAAGTCTGCTTCGGCCACGAGAGGCAGTGCAACGTGGCCGCTCGGAAGGGAGATCAGCTTAGCTCGGCGACCGAGCTTCTTTGAAGTAGATCTCGTTCTTCTCACAGTCGATCACGGTTCCGAGCAGTCGTAGAACGCCCACCCCGATCAGCAACGGAGATTCGGCATCCAGGATGTTCATCTCTAGATCGCCATCCACACCAGCGATGTTCAGCGGGAACGTAGCCTTGCCAGTGCAGGTCTTGGAGTTGCCGTCGCCGAAGATGAACGTCGTCTTCTGTGAGGTGTCCATCTTGATGTTCTTGCCCGTCGCGTCGTAGATCAGGTCGCGCAGCTTCTCGGCAGCTTGGATCCCGATGATGGAGGAGGTAGCGCCGATGCCCAGGTTGCCGAAGCCCCTGTAGGCAGTCTCCCGCACGCACATCAGCATCCAGTCGTTCGTCTTTTTGTCAGCGCGGCCAGAATCGGGAGCTTCTCTTCGCAGCGCTTCGGAACCTCAGGCTTGCTCAGCGTGTCCTCTAGCTCGCGCAGCGACGTGTCGTGCTTGATCATCGTCACCTCCATCTCGGCGTCGCGCTGGCTGTTGTAGAACACGTACGAGGAGAAGCCCTTCTTCGGTCCACGATTGCGGTCGGCAGACGGGCTCCTCGGCTCGTGATCCTTCGTCTCGCGATTGCCGCCACACTTCAGACAGGGTCTTCTGCGACTTGCCCTCGCCCTCGGGTCTCTCGATGATGCTCTCCTGTCCTTGTCGAACGGCTTGCTGTTTGGCCTCGGGCCCTTCGAGGTAGATGGTCGCCCCCTTGAAGGCTCGTCGCGGTGACCCTTCTTCTCTTCCCTCATCCACGGGGTAGAACTTCGGGCTGTCTTCACACGTCGAAGCAGATCTCGAGTTTCTTCAACATTGCGCCGCTGAGCGGCGAAGCCCTGCCATGCCTGCTCAATGTCCTTTTGCGCTGTAGAGCGGCCCCTCCCGGTTGCCGTCGCCCTCGTTCCCGGTGCCGACGTCTCGGACTGCTCGTAGCAGATGTGTTATTCAGCGTCTGGTTCTGCTTCGTCTTGTGCCCATCCAGCGCGAACGCGTCCGCGGTCTCGATGACGGCCCGGGTGCTCGTTCCCTTTCTTGTCGCGGTTCGTCAGCTCGTCGTCTGGCCACGATACCCGCAGCTGCTCGCCGATACTCTCGTAGTCGAAGTTCCCCTTGACGGCGCTGATGACCGCTGCGCGCTCAGTCGGCGTTAGCCGCGAGCGCTGCAGAAGCAGCCAGCCGCGTAGTTGATCCAAATGGATCGCCTGCTGGAAGTTCGTGCCACAGTCAGGATTCTCGGGTATCTCCTCGAGGCCTGTCTTAGTGAAGTTCCACAGCCAGTTGTCGAGTCTCCTGGCCTCATCTGCGGCGTTGCCCGGGCCCTCGTACACTATCTTGTTGAGAAACCAATTGAGCTCTCGATAGAGAGAGTTCCACTCCTTCGCCCGGGCCGACAGCCGCTCCATCCTCTGGCGCTTGAAATACTCAGTGTCGAAACCCTTGACCACGTCGTGGTACGCCTCGACGTCCCTGCTGATGTAGTTCGGCATAGGCTCACCGCTGTCCATCGCGCAGGTTTAGCTCCAAGCTTCGACCTGATGCGTCTCAGCGGGAAATCTGCGCCGTTGTCAGCCTCGAGCTTGTCCCAGTCAATATCCTTGGCCGCTTGACGAGCGCGGCCCTCTAGCTTTCGCCAGAGCCTCGGTCCGCATACATAGCGCTCGCCACGGCGCGCCCCACGAATCTAGCCCTTCACGTCTTTCTTATAGTCGTCCACCGTGGTGAGGTCCCCGTTCCACTTGAGAATAACATCATCGACGTTCTCAGTCATGGTGCCCGTCCGTGGAGCTCAAGAGCTCCGCTACCATGCAATGGTCCCGCTAAGACCACTGCCATGATAGCCTCCCTGGCTTTCCTTCCTCGAAGATGTCCTGGTATGTGCTCGCTCTCTTCCTTGAAGATGTCCTGCTATCTGCTCACTCTATCTTCCTTGAAGATGTGGGTGACAATTGGCGGTGGGGGGCGCGTCGCTGAACACGCGATGACACGGCACAGGAACTTGTTTCTCAGCGGGCCAGTTCGTTGTGCTGCGGTTCAGACCGCAACTCAGTAGACTAGCAGCCTCTCACTGCTATACAAAAGCTTGAGCCAAGACGGTTTCGGAAGAAGCGCCTTGGGAAACGTGTGAAACACTTTCAAAAAAGAGCCTCGAGGGCTTGGGGTTATCCAGGGAACCTTGGGGAGACCACTAAGCATGGCTAGGCTGCAAAACAGAGAAACAAGGAACCTGCTACGCCAGGGAACGCGGACTTACATAATATGGATAGTATGTACTGGGCTCGTTGGAGCCTTGTCTTAAATTGTCTAGCGCACTGGGCCTCGATGGGCCATCTGTCGTCAGTAGGCACAGGGAGGTAGGCTCTGGGCTGTGAATTGCAGAGGGAGGAGGAGGAGCAGGAGGAACAGGAGGAGGAGGAGGAGGAGGAGGAGGAGGCGGGGGAGGAGGAGGAGCAGCAGGAGGAGGAGGAGGAGGAGGAGGAGGAGGAGGAGGAGGAGGAGGAGGGAGGAGGAGGAGGAGGAGGAGGAGGGGGGGAGGAGGAGGAGGAGGAGGAGGGGGGGGGAGGAGGAGGAGGAGGAGGAGGAGGAGGAGGAGGAGGAGGAGGAGGAGCAGGAGGAGGAGGAGGAGGAGGAGGAGGTCCGAGGGTCGTCATACCTTCCGCCAGAGGGCCAACGCCCCTGCCCTCTGGGCGTAGCGACGAGTTCGGCTCCCCGGGCAGCTCGCAGGCGTCCCGCGAGGCCGAGCGAGGCGCGGGCTCCGCGCGCGCGCTGCCTCCTCCTCCTCCTCCCTCCTCCTCCTCCTCCTCCTCCTCCTCCTCCTCCTACTCCTCCTCCTCCTCCTCCTCCTCCTCCTCCTCCTCCTCTTCCTCCTAAGGTCTCGGGCGGAGGGTCTGGTCTGCGCGGTCGGGGGATCCCTCGTCAGGCGAGCTCCAGCACTGCTGGCGGTGGTACTGCTGATTGTGGACGCTCTGTCTGGGGGCCGGGAGATTTTGGGGAGCGAGCGCTTGGCAGGGCCGTTTTTACCGGCACCGTTTCGCAATTTGTGTTGCCGGTTCCAGCGCCGTTTGCCCTGGCTCCGTTGCCGTCAGCTTTCCGGTTCCGGCTCCAAGCCCAGAGCCGGTTTCGTGCCCGTGTCGGGAGCCGTTGTTCTGTTCCGCCGCCCTGCTCCAAGGACAGTTCCAGGCCCTGCCGCTACCGAGGCCGACGTGCTCTTGTCGAAGAGATGCGGAGAACACCCAACCTGATGCTCCTGCGAACATCCTCGATCGGGGGTGGGTCGGGGGGGTCGATCGAGGGTGGACCGATCGATCTTCGATCGATCCTCGACGTCGGTTGATCGATCTCCGATCGATCCGCGCGCTTTCGGTGCTCTGCTTGCTCGGAAGAGCCCGCAGAGAGCGCCCGGCCAGACGCTCTCGCGAGGCGCGCGCGGCTCTCCGGGGGGAGGGGCCTCTCGCTCTCGGGGGATCGAGGGGGGGATGGCCTCTCTTCCCCCGCGGAGGGTGGCGGAAGGCCGTCGGAAGCCGGCGGAAGCAAAGCCATCCGGCGGAAGTCGTTGTCCTCGTCGTCCTCGCCCTCGTCCTCGTCCTCGTCCTCGTCCTCGTCGATCCTCGAAGCCACGGAGGCTGGCGGAAGAAAAGAACCACAACCACAACTGAGTGGATTTTCGGGAGGGTCCCTCGGGGGGGAGCCCACCGACCTCGGCATGAGCACTTTGGTTCTGGTTGTGGTCGAGTTGGCCGTCCTGTGACGCCAGATCGACCAGAACCAGCACGGAGTTGGTTTCGGTTTTCCGTCAGTTTTTGGAATGAGCAAGACATCCTCCATGGGTGTGTCCTCGATGTGGTTGTGGTCGCCTTCTGCCCCCGCAATTCCGCCACCAGGTGACGGGGTTCAGCGTAAGCGGGGCTCAGCCAGGGCGCCGCATCCTGCAGGATCCTGCAAAGCCAGATTCGGGTTAAGTCGGGCCTGTCCCTCTACAGGGGGGAAATTCAAAAAAACTAGTTTTAAGAATAGACCTGGGACATGTTTTTGAGAAGTTGTGCGTATGTTTGAATATTTGTTGGGTATTTCTCATCTTTCGTCCACAGCCCCCCTGTAGGGAGACACGCCCGACCTAAGGTTAGGGTTGAGCCGGGTCTGGGACCGGCTCGCGGTCTGGGAGGCGGCCTTATACGCACTGGTTGAGCCGGGTTTTGGGACTCTTCCCAAAAGAATGCAGTGCAGCTTTTTCTGCATTGGCGCAGCCGGGTTTGCGCTGAACCGGGCCAAGATCAGGAGGAGAACAACACACAGACACAATGAATCGTCGATTGCACAGGAAAATATGGAAAAATATGGGGGAAGGCAAAAACACCGAAAATATATGGAATATTGTTGTTTGAGTCTATTGATTTGTGTGTCCCAGGGCCTTTCACAAGAAGTCCACGCCAGAGCAAAAGCGAGGGCGGCTCCGCAAGGAGACGGCTGGCGGGTGGCCAGCGACTGGAACAAGCAGGCCCTCAAGAGGTGTCGGCAGTTTTGCATTCGGGCTTCCCTGGGCTGGCCATGTCGGGACAGCATGATTCTAGGTCTCCCAGATGGGGTCCGAGCAGATGGTGTCGGAGGATTGCGCCGCATCGCCGATGCATCGACGATGGGGCTCGATGTGGAGCCCGAGTTGCCCCACGCCGACGTTGCCGATGCGTCGCCGATGCGTCGCCGATGCATCGCCGATGTATCGCCGATGCATCGGCAATGCATTGGCGATACGGCGCGATCCATCGACCCCATCTGCTCAGACCCCATCTAGGAGGCCTCTAATGATGACTGTGGGCATGAGCAAGGGACGTCGAATCTGGTTGCCCGTGCCCTCTGCTCGGTACCCTCACACCCACAGCTTGGACCCCTGCGCTCCTCTCTCTGCCCGCTGCAGCCGCCCATCGTTGTCCTACTCCATGCTGCAAGCCCTCGGCTCGCTGCACGATGCGATATGCAATGCCTGCTGCTCTCGAGGCCCCAGAAGCCTGGCAAGCGCTGGGCAACAGGAAACCCAGAACTGGTAATCGGAAGCTCAGGAACCCCAGCGGCAATCGAAACCTGCGGCCCACATTCACCAGTTCCTTTCAATATCCCAGCGCTTTCCGACGGTTCCGATGGGGGGTTCGAACACGCTGCAGGGAGCACGGTTGAAGGTAGATGTTGGAGAAATCGAGGAGGGAGCCGAGAGGATGGCGAAGCAGGGAGCAAGGGTGAGTACGAGCAGGGAGGAGACATGGGAAGAGGAGTAATGGAGGATAACGATTAATAAAGGACCGGGGGCCGTGTTCACGCGGCGGCGCCCGGGATGACGATTAGAAAAAACCGGCCGCGGGCTGGAAAACTATGTTTTTAATCGTTCTCCTCCAGTCAGAAACTGTGCAGAAATAGCAGACAACTATTTGTTGAATCATTCTCTCCCATTTTTTGTATTCATCGTCATCCCGTATTAGGAAGAGGGAGACGGGAGGGAGGGCAGAGGGAGGAGTGCTTTAGGCGGCCAGGCGTCAGGGGGGCTCCTGTGAATGTGACAGGTTGCTCGTGGAGGGCCAGGACCGCCGGGGTTCAAGGGGATTCTGCGGAGGCCCGGCGGGCCCAGCACGAGGACAGGAGGTGGATGAAGGGGGAGGGGGAGGAGGAAGGAGGAGGAGGAGGAGGAGGAGAAGGAGGAGGAGGAGGAGGAGGGGAGGAGGAGGAGGCGAGGAGGAGGAGGAGGAGGAGGAGGAGGAGGAGGAGGGGGAGGGGGAGGAGGAAGACGCGGAGGACAAGGACGAGGATGACAGTGAGGATTGGGAAGGGCTGCGGGAGGATGAGAAGGCGGAGGCGGGCCGAGGCGAGGAGCAGGAATGCGATCGATCCTCGGCCCATCCCCGATCAGACCTCGATCGATCGTTCCCCGATCGACCCCCGGCCTGCAGTCGAGGTCTGATAAGCAGGCCGGCCCTGCCAAGCCAGGGGCGCCCCCGGTGCGCTGCGCACGGCGCCGCGTGCCCCCTCCTCCTCCTCCCTCCTCCCTCCCTCCTCCTCCTCCTTCTCCTCCTCCCCCTCCTCCCCCTCCTCCTCCTCCTTCTCCTTCTCCTTCTCCTCCTCCTCCTCCCCCTCCCCCTCCGCCTCCTCCTCCTCCCCCTCCGCCTCCTCCTCCTCTTCCTCCTCCGAGGGGCCTCGTGTCCTCTCGCGTGCCCCCTCCAATCAAGCTCGACGGCATCTCCGAGATGGATCCCCGACCTGTCCCCGGCGCCGCTCCTCGAGCGATCGATCCGGGAGTCCGTCGATGCGGAGAGGCAACGCCCTGAGACTGGCAGGCCAGAGGTTTCTCGTACACGTCTGGCCTCCTCTGGGGGCCCTCGCCGCCGCGGGGCCGTCAGAGACCACCCGGGATGGAAAGCCGGCCCTGGGAGAAGGGGTCGGGATTTCTGTCGGCACGAACAAAAATGGTACGGAAAGAGTGGGTACAGTGCCGTTTTTATACATGCTCGGCGCGCGGATCATATATTAAAAGTGAAGGGATATAGTATTCAAAACAACGGTGAGTTCATGCATAAATGTATTCATAATTTAATCATGTATGAAAAACCCTATATGCTTAACGCTCCTATATATTAAAAACTGCCCTCTGCAATGCCCGACAGCCGTTCCTGCTCATTCTGCACAGGACTCGCTGTCGGCGTCGCCGCGGCCCGTGCCCACTTGAGCCAGGAGGCCGCCGCGGCCAACAAGTGGCCGCTGCTGCTTTGAGGCAACAACCGTTGCTGGGCACTGTGCCCATTTTTTCCGTACCTTTCTCCTCCTCCCTCCTCCTCCCTCCTCCTGCTCCTCCTCCTCCTCCCTCCTCCTCCTCCTCATCCTCCTCCTCCTCCCCTCCCCCTCCTCTCCTCCTCCTCCTCCTCCTCCTCCTTTTCCTCCTCCTCCTCCTCCTCCTCCTCCTCCTCCTCCTCCTCCTGCCTCTTCTATTCTCTGTGAGCAAGCTCCTGCTGTCTCCGCAGCTTCTCTGCCCAAGTGCCCCCCGTCGGCCGCGCGTGCGGGCGCCTTATGCAGGCGGTCGCACAAGCGGCTCTCCAGGGCGCTGGGGAGATTTTGTTCAGGGGGCTGCGGGCCGCGCTCTACGAGCGGCTCGTGGCTGCCCCCCTCTCTGTGCTTCAGGACCAGGGGCCTCCATCGCCTGCCTGGTCCATCCAGCAGGCGGACTCGTCCGAGGGTGAGGGGGCCTCCTGCCCTCTCCCTTCGGCGGGTTCCACCTGCCCCACCGTCTGCCTCGGGCTGGCGGTGGACCTGAGCGGCGGGGTCTCTCCCTGGCTGCTCAGCACGGTCGCCGCCCTCCTCTGGGTGACGGCCGCCTGCAGCGCCTGCGCGGGCTGCTGCCTCGGGCTGCTGGGCCCGTACGTGTGGCGGAGGCTCTGGCCCTCCGCCTGGCCGCGCGGCGCGGTTTCTGCTTCACCTGAGCAGGACCGCCGTGCGGCGCGAGCGCTGGCCTACGGGGCTCCGCCTCGACCTCAAGCGCTCGAGCGGGCAGACGCCCAGCGTGCGGGCGGCGGCGTCCACGGCGGCGCCCACTGATGGCGGAGCTGCCACCAGTTGGCGGAGGGCCCCTTTGGCCCGAGCTCTACCCTTTCGCTGCGCCCACGGCGCGCGACTACGCACGATGGCGCCTAGACGACGGCGACACCAGCTGGGCGGCTATCCCCCTCGCCTCTCGAGAAGGGGGCATCCTGCTGGCCCTGCCTGGTGCCTTTCGC